ATCCTACGAGACCCAAGAAACTGCGAATTTCAGAAGCATTACGAGGCGCTTCCCAATTCTGAATGGCTTTGATTTTGGTAGGATCTACGGATACAACGTCACCAGAAATCACATCGCCGAGAAATTGAACTTAGCGAAGCCAAAATTTACATTTCAAAAATTTAGCATATATTTTCTCCTTTCGAAGAAGTTCTAATACCGCACGAATATGAATGGCATAATCAGTTTCATACTTGGAATATATTAGAATATCATCAATGAATACGATGACATATTTTTCGAGCATTGGACGGCATACCCGATTCATCATATCCATGAATACGACAGGGGCATTTGTCAAACCGAATGGCATGACAAGGAATTCATAATGCCTATAACGAGTACGAAAAGCAGTCTTCGGTACATCCTGCTCGTGTACTTTCAACTGATGATAGCCAGATCTCAAACTAATCTTTGAGAAATAGCTAACACCTTGAAGTTGATCGAACAAATCGTCGATGCGAGGTAGTGGGTACTTGTTCTTGATAGTCACCTTATTTAGCTCACGGTAATCAATACACATCCGCATCGATCCGTCCTTCTTCTTGACAAACAATATTGTAGCACCCCAAGGAGAGGTACTCGGTCGAATGAAGCCTTTGTCAAGTAATTCCTGCAGTTGGATCATCATTTCATTTATCTCAGCTGGCGCAAGACGATAAGGAGTCTTTGCAATCGGAGCAGCACCAGGCACAAGATCAATTCGGAATTCTACTTGCCTGTCCGGAGGAAGTCCAGGCAAATCATCGGAGAAAACATCAGCATATTCGTTAACAACGTGAACATCATCTACCATTTTCTTTTCCTCTCTTGAGATATCGACGGTGTAAGCTAGATAAATAGAATACCCCTTCGATATGAACTTACGAGCTTTTAGGTAAGAGATTATTTTTACGATTTTAAGTCTTTGTTCACCGTAGACATAAATAGGATTCTCCCCTTCAATGGGAATACATACTATCTTTTCATAGCATAAGAGTTCAACCAATCCATGCCGAGAATAATATCAAAGTTGGGCAAGGAGATAGGAATCAGATTAGCAAGGAAATTATAGCCTTCAGTTTCTATGACATAATCCCTATAGACTTTATCAGCATGTAATGATATACTTCCCGCAGTATCTACATGAAATGGTTGCACGAGTGCATAGCAAGCAATTTGAAATGAATGCGGAAATTCATGAGACACAAAAGAATCTGAGGCACCAAAATCAAATAAGATGTGAGCAAGTTTAGAGTTGACAAGAAATGTATCCGTCACAACATTCAGGTCCTCGCGTGCCTCTTCTGTGGTAATCTGGAATGCACGACCCTTAGCTTTTGGCACCTCTTCCTTTTTAGTTGGAGTACTCTTTGGTTGTTGGACGGAGGCTTGACTCCCCGCCATTTGATTGGTAAGAGTAGGGCAGAAACGCTTCTTGTGTCCAGTAACACCACAAGCAAAGCATGTAACACCCTTCATTGGACAAACGGGCTTTATGTGGCCTACTTCTGCATATCCATAACAGACCACTGCTTTTTCGGTTCTGCAATGGACCTGATGATTCTTTCCACAATTTCGACAAGATGGAGACTGAAGAGAAAAAGTTTGTGACCTACCGCGGCCACGAGGGTCATTTTGAGTTTGCACTTGTTTATGAGGTTCAGTTCGAACAAATTGAGCTGGTGGAATAGAGGAAACAAGAGTAGTTCGATCAATACGTGGATGCTTCGGAACAGAAAAAGTGTCACCACGTATTTCTAAGTCATGCTCTCGCTTTCGAGCATACTCAACAACTTTTTCAAATGATAGAACATCCTGATTAGCCACTAAATCGCGGATTTCATACCGTAGTCCATCTAGGAATAACTGAATTTTATCGTCTTCAGTTGGAATATACTTTGTAGCAAACCGTGCTTTTTGATTGAATTGAGTTTCATAATCAATCACAATCATTCTTCCTTGTTTAAGCTCGAGGAATTCTTTCTCAAATCTTCTCCTCATATCCAGAGGACAATACTTCCCTAGCAAACGAGTTTTGAACATTTCCTAGGATAAATTCTCCTGGTCAAACCCGTTAAGAGCTTCATATGTTGCTTCCCACCATACCAAGGCTTCTCCGACGAGCATAGCAGAAGCATAATTAGCCTTGTATTCATTATCCACATGAGAGATGCGAAATACTTTCTCTGTGTTCTGAATCCAAGTTAGAACAATAATGGGATTAAGAACACCAGAAAACTCTGTAGCACCACTACTCTTGAAAATTTTGAATGAAGGATGTCTCGTCTCTCCTTTTGAAGATTCTTCGGTAACTTTCTCTTTTCCTTTATCACCATTCTTTTTGTATTCTTCAAGTGTCTGTCAAAAAACACTGGTAAGTTTACACAGGAGTCGCTGCTCACTAGGAGATACTGGAATATTTACTTCATCAGGTTGAGGATCTCCACCCACCTCTGGGGTGTGGGTACTTACCTGTTCAGGCATTGCTCTGCAATATGGAGTAACATTTGTATTTTAGAATATTAGGGTTTATCATTACCTAATACTCTACTTAAGTCTTTCCTAAGGTTTGTATCCATATAATTACAATGAATCCGTTCATATATTGAACTTCTGACGGTGTAAGTCTAAATACCAATCCGTGGAATTTAGTTCACTTAAACTACTGCTCTGATACCATGATTGAAAGAACCTGAACTTTCTAAACTTTCGTATTTCTGAAAGACACAAACTTTCATACTTCACAATATTCTTACTCCAAAACATGCTACATGCATATTCACAGATAATAATTTACATTGATAATTTTGTTTACAAACGACTGGATACAAACCGACTATTACAAAGTGTTGTATATTACATAACTACCCAGGATACTATAGTTTTATACATACATGAGTACAAAATGCAATACTTTCAAACTATTCAAAATCTTTTATCAGTATATAACTATACTGGTTGCTTATCTCCGACAATTGTTAAACATTGAGAGGGGTAAGCGGTGATGCTTAGTGAGTTCAACAATAGATACAATATAACGTTATGCCATACAGATATACTTCAATATGGCAGAAGCAAAGGGGAACAAGGAACAATAGCGGCATATGTGAATCATGCGACAAGCTCTCCATATCAATCAATAATTTGATTCAATGATATACAATCAATGAGACATAACAATTTCCATACTTGATATACATCAATAACGCTTCGGTCCAAATGGCACAGAAGACATACAATTTTGGATTATCACTTTGCTAGAATATACAGGCTTTCAGCCCTACATAGCACTATGCTAATACCAGAAGTTATACGAGTCATGCTCTATATGGCCAAAGGCAAAAAGCCAATACCAGAATAATATGAGACATGCTCTACATAGCCAAAGGCATAAATCCGATACCAGAATAATACGAGACATGCTCTACATGGCCGAAGGCTCAAGGCCAATACCAGAAGTGATACTAGACATACTCTACCTGATCAATGATATAAAAATCATAATAACACAGGAAAGCACATAGCACACATAACATACAATTGTTCCTATATATTGAACTCACCGTGAAATAACTGGGGGTTAAAATAGTAATTTGTGCAGCACTTCATTATAATAGATAACTTTCTTCGCTGAAAACCGGGAGCTTTATTGAAAACCGGGCCCTGTGAGGGTTGAGCTTTAAACTTAAAAGATAAATTTATTGGGCTCTTCGGGCACTTCGGGACGTGTTTCGGGTGTTGGGAATGATCCTGGGGCTTCGGGGGAAGTTGAAATAGCTAAAAATTGGATTTAGGGGTAAAAAGTGTGAAATTTCCAAAATTACCCGGGAGGTCTCGCACCTCCTATATATAGGTGCGAGCCGCGGATCCGAAGCAAGGAGAAACGAGCACGTGGCTCGCATGCGAGGGGGGGACAGATGGTTAGTGCGAGGCGAGGATACGCGGCGGACAGCTGGCTTCGATCGCGAGGAGTCAGCAACACGCGTCGGATGCGAGGGCTAGACAGGTGGCTCGCTTCAGACCTGCCACCAGTGCGACACGCGACACTTCACGATTGGACCTCGGCTTCGGACTGGACACGAGTCGGACATGCGGCACGATGTGAGCGAGGGTGACGTAGCCGATTACTGTTCATGCGAAATTTCTCGGTTCTTGGGATTTTTTTCGGTTTTTGTGCCCCGAACTTCAAAAATCCATAACTTTCTCATACGAGCTCCATTTTTTACGTTCTTTATATGCGCGCGTAGGTGAACTTATGATCTACAACTTTCGTTTAGACTTCGTTGGCTATTTTTGACATTATTTTTAATATTATTATTTTTAACAGACCGGGACAGGAAAATCCGTTAAAAATTCATAACTTCTTAATCCGACGTCCGTTTTCGTCAGTCTTTTTATCGTTGTACTACTATTGACGAGACCTTTGATTCACGTTTAGGTTGCGTTGGCTAAAAGTCATTCAATCTTTATTTCGAGTTTTTAGCCGTCTACTGTTATTCCAAAACTTAGAAAAATCATAACTTTCTCATACAAAGTCAGATTTGGACGTTCTTTTTATGAAAATTCTGGGTTTAACAAATACTATGATTTTCATTTAGATCACCAAGGCTAAAAAGTAGTTTATCAAAAACTCACTTTTTATAAAAAAAAAAATTTGGCTCCGTGCCGGTTTTGTCGCGGATCTTCGATTGGTCACAACTTCTTCTTTATAACTCGGATTTCAATGAGGTTTTCGCCTAAATGTTTCTAAGGAGATTCTTTACAACTTTCAATAATAAAATTTTACTTATTTCAAATTTTATATTTTCGTTAAATTTCAACATTTGCCTTTTGTTTGGAATCTCATAAGACTTCCAAAACATTCTGAATGATTCTAAACATAGTTTTACTTCATTTCAAGTAAAAACTATCCGTTAGAATCAATACTCATAATTATATAATATTTCATAATATTATTCACTTTTTAAAATTTACAAAACACGATTTCAAAATGTGTATGTTACACTTTCCTATAAAAATTTACTTCAATTTATTGGCATTACTATTACCGAGTTCATCCAAAATGAATTGACATTTGTATGTCCCACCAGATTTTGGTGTCCATGAGCATCAAACTTTATTCCATAATCTAATGAGTAAGTTGTTAAAAAGAATTAAATAACCATCATTGCACCTTATGCATCCCACTCTTAACTGACAACAGAAAATTAACATAAGTGTAAGATCGATAAGAGTCGTAATAGCTTTATTCATGAATATTACCATAAAAGTATTTCTCAAAGGTGTTGCATACATGGTTTCTGGATTCCTATTGATTTCTTTTTTCACATATCTAGAAATGTCATCTTTAGCATCACTTCTGTTGAAAAAATAAAAAAAAATAAAAAAAAAAAACCTCAAGGCAAAAACCAGGCAGAATTAAATTAATCATTTACATGTATAGATAATTATCAAAGTGTTAGAGCCCCAAATTATAGATTAATCAATTACATGAAAAGATAATCATCATATACATCATCTTTTAAAGTCATACATTGCTTCCTTTACATTAGAGAACAGCTGTAAAAAAAATAGAATACCAAATAAGAAAACAATAATCATGATGAAAAAGCTAAAAACATTGCTGTCATTAATTTAATTTCAGAAGATAAAACCATAAGAAAAATGTAATAAAAGTAAATAAAACAGACCATCATGCTTCTGTATCCATTGAGAACTGTATCATCCTTGCTCTTTTAAAAATTATATTACTCATCAATGAGAGAAAAACTTCATGATTTTGTGTACAAAAATCATATTGGGTGCATATTTAACAAATATATTACAAGACACATACTTGTTTGACTAATACAACGTTGGATACCAAAAACACTACAATAAAATACCCAAATTTGATTTTATATATGTCAAAAGATAAGCATAGTTTCGTAACAACATAATGGTGATCAATATTTTGCCTGATCCAGTCTCCATGATGTAAAAATACTATTATGTTATGCTTCAATGCTTATTCTAGAGCTTCTATCTGATATCGATAAAAATACCCAAAAAAAAAATTGCATCAAGAAACACTTACAACTAAATCAGTACTAGTACACTTAAACTAATCAAGAACTTTCATTCACCATTTTGATAAACATAAGTTTTCATGGACAATAGAAAAAAAAAAGCAAAGAATCTGGTAAGGACATATATATCATCTCCCTAGAATGCACCAAGATGTTCTTCAAAGTTGATCATCTACCTCAAAAAAAAAAAAAAAACTATTAAAAAAATTGGTAACTAAAAGCATAGATGTGTGTGTGACTGGTTTTTGTTTTTCAAAATATGGTCATATGTTACCGGTAACAAAAAATAGAGAAGAGGAATTTGTATTATTCTATTTAGGGTTTGTAGACGGAGAGAGCGTATGAAATCGAACTTCAAACCCTAAATAGAATAATACAAATTCAGGGTGGTGAGAAGAAGAACAGTGAAAAGGTAAAAAAAAAAAAAAAAAAAAAAAAAAAACCCACAAACTTCTGCTTAGACGAACATCAATCGATAGAGTTTGAAGAGAGACAATAGAGTTCGTGCCTATCGATAGAAATCAGGACATTGCTTTTGCGTCTTTGCAAAAAATTAACATCAGAAAAACCCATAATCCAGAATAAGAATGAAAACTTACAACAAAAGAGACAACAAATAATCAAAAACTCACACAATCTGCAAAGAACCCTAGGTACATTTTGATTGATGAAGCAATTGATGAACCATTGAGGAAATTACATTCAATCGGTAGACATTAAGAGGTAATTTCTTGCTTCAACTTATGGTTTTCTAATCCGCTGCTCAAGAGACAGACAGATAGCCTGGAGAATCAGGACTTTTGATTGTTTGAAAAATGGGTTGAAAGGGATCTACAAAAGAAGACGAATTTTTGTTTAGAAAGAAATGAAAGTAGGATGCAATAATTGTTTTATATATACAGAGTTCCGAGAGACCAGGGGAACGTGGGCAGTTGTCCCTTTCACCAGTCGATCGCCAATAAAACAGAAGGTGAGCAGTTGAAGGAGAAGGGGGTTAGCCGAACGTGGGGAAGAAGCGGATAAACGTGGGGAAGAAGATTGGCAGGAAAACTATAAATTTGGGTTTTTGGGTTGAATATAGGTTAAGTCAACTGGTTGGGTCATCTTTTACACTACATAGAGACTAAATTTGTAGCGTACTCTATGTTCTTCTATCTATTTAAAGTTTTGCTTCTATTGAAATTTTATTTTAGCTGACGATTGTAACAATAATATTTTATTGATATCATATACAAGTAAATTACATTTTTCTATTTAAATACAATACTGATAAAATATATTTACCAACAAATGACATGTAATTCCTAATGAGCATAAATTTCAATATATAATTTTTTTGTTCACCTTGACACATCAATAATACTGTCAACATAAACTGAAAGTAAAATAATTATAAAAGGATGGCACATCTGACACTGTAATTCTCTGAATTCTTTCTCTCCTATTGATATGAGGAGACCTCTATATATATAGAGGGTACAAGAGTGATTACAGGGATTTACATAGAGTTAAACTAGGAAACAACTAATCATTATCAATTTACAATAAATACAATAAATGCAAATATACATAGAGATATATTCTGCTAATAGTCCCCCGCAGTCGAAACTGTAGCTGGTCGGATGGAGAGACTGGAACGGAAGCGGGTGAAAAGCTGACGTGGTAATCCCTTTGTGAAGATATCGGCATACTGGTAATCTGCGGGAACGTGGAGCACACGGAGAGAACCCAAACGAACTTTTTCTCGGACAAAGTGAATGTCAATTTCAACATGTTTCGTGCGTTGGTGTTGGCATGGGTTGTGTGTGAGATAAACAGCAAAGATGTTGTCGCAATAAATGATCGTGGCTTGGCGCACCGGAAGGTGTAGCTCGAGAAGCAGGTTGCGAATCCATGCGGTTTCAGCTGTGGTGTTTGCAACCCCTTTGTATTCTGCCTCGGCGCTAGACCGAGAGACTGTGGGTTGTCGTTTAGAGGACCAGGAGACTAGGTTATCTCCAAGGAAGACACAATATCCAGAAGTGGAGCGTCGAGAGTCAGGGCAACCCCCCAGTCGGCATCTGAATATGCGGTCAGTTTGGTAGACTTTGAGGGAGTGATGTGAAGGCCATAATTGGTGGTTCCTTTGAGATATCTAAGAATGTGCTTGAGAAAATTGAAATGTGGTTCACGAGGATCGTGCATGAAGAGGCACACTTGCTGGACCACATATGTTATATCCGGTCGTGTGATAGTGAGGTATTGGAGAGCACCAGCAAGGCTACGGTAAAGGGAGGTGTCGGATATTGGTTTTCCGGTGGTGGCACTGAGTTTGGAGCCTGTGTCGACAGGGGTTGCACTTGGCTTCCAATTGTGCATGTTGGCACGGGTTAAGATGTCGTTGACGTATTGAGCTTGAGAAAGGAATATACCACTATTTTGATATTGAACTTGGATGCCTAGGAAGTGGTGAAGCTGGCCAAGGTCTGACATTGCAAATTCTTTGGATAATAGATCAATGAAGTGCCGAAGAAGAGATGTGCTTGATGCAGTTAAGATGATGTCATCGACATAAAGTAAAAGATATGCCATTTGGTTGCCATGCTTGTAGACAAAAAGAGAACTGTCACTGTTGGTACTTTTAAAGCCGCATGTTTGAATGAATGTTGCAAACCTTTGGTACCAGGCCCTGGGAGCTTGTTTGAGACCATACAGGGATTTGCGTAGGCGGCATACGTGTGATGGGTTTTTGGCATCGACAAACCCGGGTGGTTGAAACATGTATACGGTTTCATTTAAATCCCCATGTAAGAATGCGTTCTTGACATCCAACTGGTGAATAGGCCAAGATCTTGACACAGCAAGGCTGAGAACAGTGCGAATCGTTGTAGGTTTCACTACAGGACAAAAAGTCTCGTCACAATCCACGCCAACTTGTTGGCATTTACCATTAATTACTAAGCGTGCTTTGTATCTTTCAAGTGTCCCATCGGCATGAAATTTGTGCCGAAACAACCACATACATCGTATAACGTGAGCATCATGTGGTCGGGGCACTAGATCCCATGTGTGATTTTCTATTAAGGCCTTATATTCATTGGTCATAGCTGAGTGCCAGTTAGGATCAGATATTGCCATTTTATAGGATTTGGGTAGGGGTGAAATGGTTGGGTCGTTGGAGGTGGTGTGAAGATTAAATGGGGTTTTTGGTTTAGTGATGCCTGCTCAAGAGCGAATGGTCATGGGGTGGGTTTGTGGTGGGGGAGGGGGGTTTGGAGGGTGAGGAGTTGATCTTCTGGAATATGTGATGAGGGGTGGATTATTTGGTAAGGGTGGTGATGGATTCATGTGAGATGTGGGATGTGAGAGGGGTGTTTCAGATGGATGAGAGTTTGTTAGAGTCTCGGGAGTTGGTTCGGGTGTGGGGAAATGTTGAGTTGGAGAAGAGGGTTGGGGAGTTTGAAATAAGAGGGGTGAGGGGTCGGTGTCTAAGAAGGAATAATTTGGTGGCGGGTTTGATATGATAGTGGCATAAGGGAATGTTGTTTCATCAAACGTGACATGACGAGAGAGAATGATTTTACCAGTGGATAAGTCAAAACATCGGTAACCACGGTAGTTGGCTGGGTATCCGAGGAATACACAAGTGGTGGATCGAAGGGAGAGTTTGTGTGGTCGAGTGGCAGAAAGGTTGGGGTAGCACGCACAACCGAAGACCCGTAGATGGTCATATGTGGGGTGTTTGAGGTAGAGTGCGGAAGTTGGAGTGTGGAAGTGAAGTAGTTTAGTGGGTAGGATATTGTGAAGATAAGTGGCTGTGTGGAGTGCATCAACCCAAAATGTAGGTGGGAGGGAAGCATGAGTGAGGAGAGAGAGCATGAGTTCGTTGATGCGACGAATCATGCGTTCGGCTTTCCCGTTTTGTTGGGAGGTGTGTGGACAAGAAAATCGGATATGAAGACCGGTGGCTGTGGCAAATTGATGGAAGTGGTGATTGTCAAATTCTCCTCCTTTGTCACATTGAAGGGTTTTGATGGGTCTGTGGAATTGAGTTTGTATGAATTTGTGGAAGTTTTTGAATTTGTCATAAGTTTCAGATTCAAATTTTAAAGGAAAGACCCATGTATAGTTTGTGTGGTCATCGATAATGAGAAGATAATATTTGTGACCACTTTTGCTTGGCAAGGGAGATGTCCATAAGTCAGCATGGACAAGGTCGAAGGGTGTTAGAGTGGTAGATGTTGAGTCTGTGAATGGGAGACGTTTGTGCTTAGCGAGTTGGCATGAAGAACATACAAAAGAATGATCAAGTTTATTGCAAGGGATAAGTTTATTAGAACTAAGAAAATCCATTACATGATGACCCGGATGTCCGAGTCTATTATGCCAAAACGATGAATTAGAAGAAACAAAAAAAAGATAAACTTGGTGCGATAGTAGGGTCGTTGATTGGATAAAGATCCCCCGTGCTATTGTGCCTTGTCAGGAGTTTCCCACTCTTGTAATCCTTCACAGATAAACCATAAGGGTCAAATTCAACGGATACAAAATTATCACGAGTAAATTTTCGTACAGATACGAGGTTTTTACAATGCCAGGTGTGTAAAGTATGTTTTTAAGATGGATAGGTTTGGAGGGGTAGGGTAAGGTCGAATGACCTGATCCGAGGACTGGCACCCGATTTCCATTTCCAACAAACACAGACTTAACAGATGTCACAGAAGGGGTAGATATTTTACCTGCATCAGCTGTGAGATGAGTGGTGGCACCTGTATCCATGTACCATTGATTGTCGTTGGCCTCCAAGGTCATAGCGTTAAAGGCTGCGCCGAGTTCTGTTGGTTCGAGGGGATTGACAGCGGAGAGATGGGCCTGTTGATTATTATTAGCTTGTTGTGTGTTGCTGGACAAGTGATTAGGTTGGCGATTATGTGGGCGATTCCAAGGTGAAGCCCACCTTGGGATAGTTGGGTAAGGACATGGTGGTGGTGAAGTCCACCAAGGAGAAGAGGCCCAAAACGGTATTGCAAGAGAGTTGGCCCATGGAGATCGAGGTGGGTTATTGTGAGGTCCACGTCGATTAAAAGTCGAAGCAGGTCGATTGTTGAAATTGGGAGTTCCAGGTCCACGTGAAGAAGAGCGCCGCTGAGATTGTCGGCGATTTGGGGTAGGATTGTCACGCCGATTTGGAAAATTAGGAGCGGGATTTGGAGTCGCATGGGTGGCGGCAGCAGCGACATCAGCTGGAGAGAGGGAATCGCGAGCGTGCTGACGTTGATGTTCAAGCTGGAGCATAGAACAGGCTGTGTCCCAGGGAGGTAATGTTTGGTTTATGTACGCACCAACCGGGTCGTATTCTGTGGGAAGGCCTCGCACAAGCTGAAGAACAAGTTGTTTGTCATTCACCGGACAATCAACATCGTTGAGTTGGTCAGAGAGTTCTTTGAGGCGTTGACAGTAGTCTTCGAGGGAAGGCATGGCTCGAAGTGTCAAGTTGTTGAATTCGTGTTCAAGAGCAGCAGCCCTAGAACCTTTATTATTAAGAAAAATGTTCTGGATTCTGGTCCAGGCTTCATGAGCAGTCGATTCTGGTTCAAGAACGCGGGTAAGAAGATCATCAGAAAGCGTCCCGTAGATCCATTGTAAAACAATGGCGTCGATTTCAGACCAGGTCTCGTAGTTTTGATCTGTTTTGGCCGGGGGCTTGGTTCCATCAATATGGGAAAGAACCTTATATCCACGAGCATGGAGTTTGAAGAGCTTAACCCAAGATGAGTATGTAACCTTCTTCCCATCAAGGATTCTGACCTTGTTTTGAATGTTTGTAACAGTGTAAACTGGATGAATGGATTTAGGGTCAGATTTGTCTCCCATGGAGAGGGCTGGTGATTTTCAGGGAAGAATGGAGGTGAGGGGCAGTGATTATACAGCCGTGGCTGTTGCAGAGGGTTTAGAGATGGTGATGAGAACCAAGCTCTGATACCATGTAATTCTCTGAATTCTGTCTCTCCTATTGATATGAGGAGACCTCTATATATACAGAGGGTCCAAGAGTGATTACAGGGATTTACATAGAGCTAAACTAGGAAACAACTAATCATTATCAATTTACAATAAATGCAAATATATATATAGAGATATATTCTGCTAATAGACACATCAGCTGTCTGTACTATCAGAGGAGATGTTGACTCGTTACCACTATTGGATTGCATTTGACTCGATCCTATTCTAACTATTCCAGTATTATTGATGGACATGAATCCGTATATTACTTTGGTATAGTAGAGAAAATATAACAATTCTACATTAGGGAATTAAAATAAAAGTGTATATATGCATACAGGATATAAGTGAGAACCCTGCATTGTGGCCTTGTGGGAGGCCTGATGGTATTGGTTGGCGTTTCTCATCATTGGAGGTGTCATAGGAACAAAGGATCATGATGCAGCTTCATTTGCAGCTGGAGCTTGATTGAATCCTGTCGAAAAGAATGGAAATTGATGTAAAATTGGAAATTAATATAACCGGTAGAATTCAATGTATATGCAAATAGCAACGCCATCCAAATTACAAAGCAACTTTCATTTCTTCCAATAAGAACATTTATCAATTTTCACTACTATACTTTGAAAAATCTACCCAATTAAGATCAACAAAACTACAAGCTATAGTTGGGTAGATTTTTCTAAGTACGATGCCATTATAAGATTAAAATTGAAAGTATTATGTTGTCATAGAAAGAAATGAAAGTAGGATGCAATAATACACAAATAAATGAAAGTACATTGCTATTTTTTGCATTTAGCCTTAACTTTATTGTTAGCTTAATTCATTTACATACCAGCAAGTGAATTACTCCCCCCCATGCAACTTCTTCTTACATTGTCTTTTTTGTTATGTTTCCCATATTTTTGCAATACAAGTGGATGTTAAGTTTTCATATACAGTAGCATGTCAAAAGCATTATATAAAACATGCAACTTTTTCCCCATCTTATCTGGAACTTCCAGGAAAAAAAAATAGGGTTCCATGCAAAAGGAAGAAACGTACTTTCATCGATTTGTTTATCACAAGATCCTATTCTTATTTCTTCCTATTACACCATCGTAATTTGAATAATGAACCAAATTATACCAATGTTATCAAATACAAAACAATTCTCAGTGCTATAAAAGGGCAGAAAGAGATCAAAAATACGATGATATAAATTAGTATATTTTCAAAGTATAATGTCTTGATAAAAAAAACATGGAATTGTAATTGGAAGAAACGAGAGCACGATGCTAAAATACAAAAATAAATTAAAGTACCATAATATTTCTTGCATTTAACCGTAATGGTAAGCTAAACTACAATGTTCTTTTAGTGAATAGTTGATGGAAGTGCGGCTATATACAAATAAAGCAGAAAATGCCTAATAATAACTTTAAGAATAAACAAGATCTTTGATGCGCTCAGACCCTAAACACTAAAGCTAGCCTGGTTGAGAGAACAAACAAGATCATGTAAAAAATATATGGCATATAGTTAGCTATCACAATAAAAAATTTACAGATTCAATTGGCCGAGGGCTAAATGCAAGAAATACCAATGTACTTTCATTTTTATTTGTGTATTATAGTATTCTACTTTCATTATTTCTATCACAACACTGTATTTTCAATCTTTTTCTTATTCGAGCATGTACAAGTTGTGGAATATCTAAGCATGCATTTGCAAAGAAAGACGGTGGTGTATAACCTACAAAATTGACAATATGTAGGATACATTAAACACATGCTCTCGTTATTTATTTTTCTTTAAGGACGTAATTTACTATGCCAACATAAAGGTTAACATTCAGCATTCCAGTTATTTTGATTAGCTCTCAAATCCTTTTTTTCCTTGTATCATTTAACCTTTCAGTCAAAATTTAAAGCATATCCATATAAAGACATATGGAAGCTTAAAAAGGAACTTCTGCAGACGTCCAACCTACCAGAGTTAGCCAGCGGGTGACTTTGACCCAACGTTTAAGGGGACAGTCAGAGTTAGCTACAAATGTAACTCGTTCTTTCCTTTTAAGGAAACGAATATATATGTATACGTAAAATTTGTGAATAAGATCAGCTTATTAAACCAAAAGAATGTGTCATGTGATCAACTCTGTTGTGTGATAGGCTGTATTTTCTGGCAGAGGAGATAAATATGTATAAGCAAAATACATCCAATCCAATATTGGAAAACTTTTGAACATGAACGTTTTGAAGATCCTACTCTTTGAGACAAAAAAATGATAAAACAAAAAGTACCACCATTGTCATTAAAAACTATATAGAAACATACCTAACACAATACATATTAGAAATGAGTTTGTGACTGTTAGTTTTCGGGATATAGAAGTACCTTAGGCCTAGGGGCCATCCTCCAGTATGCCAGACTTCCTTTGAGAGAGAGCTCTGAAATGCACTTGCTCGTCTACCGAAAAGAAATAGATAAAAGATTTCAGAATGATTGCACAAAATCAAAACGTGAAATATGTATCACTAAAAACACTACCATTTACTTATTATCAGCTTTAAGTAAAAAGGAATAAAGAAGAATAACAATTTACCTTTATATTGGGCACCTTCTACATACATATAATCATATTTGAAAGGTGAAGGCCAAAAAATTCGACGTTTGCTTAGGATGTATTCTCCTGTTGTTGACTGAAATGGAGTGAGATCTCCACCAATGATATGATTCCATGACTTGTAATAATTTAAAGCATCTTCTTCTTCTCCATCATCATACACAAAACTCACCCCACACTCCTTCATAACTGCATTACCAATATCATATGACCTCTTCCTCAATGTAATAGTAATATGGTCACCACATTCCATCTCATTCATCCCAAACATCCAATGGCTTAAAAACGTCAAACAGTTTCTACAGAGAAATACCATTTCAAGGTAGTGTTGGTATATCCAGGTGCGGTTCTTTGTTATATTACTAATTATGATCACTGGCAAAAAAACCAACACATCCTCTACATCCAGAGATGGAGATGTCAACACATAGGAGAAATTCAATCCTGTGAGGTTGTTAGGAGATGATGGAATGGTAAATGATATTGATGGCCCCATGTTTCTATCTGTAATCCAATTTGGCATCTCTTGGCCTCCATAAATTGTGCTGAATATTCCAAATTCATAATACATCTGCCAAATACAACCAAATTCATTAATTGCTACATTAATAATATATAAATATTCACACAATGACAGATAATTATCAAAATCAAACCTGGATTTCAGTTTTTTTCTTTTTTATAAAGAGTGTCCCAGCTACCACACGCCTTTCGTTAAGGAAGTCTGCCCTAGTCCAGCCCAAACTACATAATACCTTTTCCTCAACACCTGCCATTGGTTGGATTTTCACCATGCCTTGAACCTCATACGATGAAGGTGCTGGCATATCCCAGTTTATTGAGAGCAGCTTAAGTGGGGACATTTCAGGATCAAATACAACTTTTTTCAGCATAGTCTTACTAGAATAGAGGCTCAAATGTGTGAGTGTATGTGGAGGATGCTCGACTGACGTCAACATATTACACTCTGTCATAATAAGTCTCTCAAGCCTAGGAAGGTTTCTCACACAATCGGGAAGGGAAACTATAGGATTTTCTTCTAGATTTAATTTCTTTAACATGGATAAGCAACTAAAGTCCACGGAAAAGGATTCGGTGGACAAATTATTGTTGGCAAGTGACAAGCTTACTAAAGATGTTGGTAAATAGAGTGTAAAGAACTTTGAATAACTTGGTATAGCCTCCACAATGGTAGATTGAACGGCAGATGAACACGTTATTGTGTCTATGTCTACATTCCCGATTCGAGATTCACCGAGATTACAACCCTCCAGCAATAGTGTTTCAACCTTTTTTAACATGTCTATGATTCTTGGAAGTTTTTGAAGCTTGCTGCAGTAGCTTAGATCAACGAAAACAAGTTCAAGACATTGCTCAATTGATTCACAAACATCAAGCAAACCAATGCAACCTCTAAGTATTAACGTCTCAAGTACAGGGAGGTGATCAAAGCCACCAAGACTACGAAGTTGTTCACAGAAACTTAAATTAAGAATCTTCAATGATCCAAGCAACCTTTTGTCTTTTGAGAATGATCCAATCCATTGCTGAAATTGAGAAAAGTTAGAATAGTAGTGAATTTATCAACTTGACCTAGAAGAGTAATAAATGGGAATAAGTTACCTTTAGTCTCTTAGGAAGTCGTTGTGGATACCAATAATAAATGCCAAATGATTCAATATTGCTATATGACATGTCAAGAGCAACCAAAATTTCCATCGGTAAGTCTGAAGGTATAGACTTCAAAGAGAACCCATGCATACACAACCATCTTAATTCTTCTGGAAATTTGTTGTAAGAGCCGGTGATTTGCACATAATTGAGTTGTAGCAGCATTAGCCTATCCATCTTACTCAATGCATCTGTTTTCAACTCAACTGATCCATGCAACTTCTCTTTCTCAAGCATTCTCATGTCAAGGGTAAGGCCTAGAACATTTTCCGTACCCTAAAAAGAAAGGAGATGCAAAAATAATTATAAAATGTCATAAACATATATATATATATATATAGAAATTCAAAATACATGGCCTCTTACCTTCTTTTGTTTCAACACACTAAATGACTCGTGACCCCATAACCGACTTCTTAACCATGGATTGTAAATAGATTCTTCACGTACCACAAATCTTCCCATCTCTTGAACCAACTGATGCATCGCCAATTCTTTATTCCATCTGATACTAAGAAGGCATTTGTCAATGAGATTCGTGATCCCAGTTCTTGTTTCTAAAGAACACGCCTCTAATATTTTTACAGTAACATCTATATCCACTCCAACAAAAAAACAAGAAATATGCTTAAACAAGTCCTTATCATTTTCTGATGGTAAAGAGTCAAAGCTCATTTTCAAGACATTATTTATAGGAGACTTATTTTCTTTCTTTAGCCTGTCTATGCACCCCTCCCAATAAGTTACATCTCGATTATATAGAGACCTACCCAAAACTTTAAGAGCCATTGGATGTCCTTCACAATACTTCACTAACTTTTTTGACACCTCTTCATAACCTTCCTTGGGGTCGTTGCACATGAATGCATGAAAACAAAGAAGCTTTTGTGATTCGGTCTCTAATAAGTGGGTAAGAAAATGCTTTGTGTGTGTTAGTTTACCGTTCAATTTGAACAATTCACAACTTCCTGTCAACCACGCATCTGTCGTTGTTATTATGACTTTACTTCCTGGATGCAAACCTTTGTTTCCAAGTAATGCATCCAACTGGTTGAGACTACCAATATCATCAAGAACTAGAAACACCTTTTTACGAGCTAATGCACTCTCTATCTTTGATATATATATATATATGGATACATCATGGAGTTGAACTGAACTTGGTTTTGATATGTCGTCATAGAGTTGTTTTTGTACATCAATCATCCCATTATACTTTCCATCACATCTCCTACTAATATCTTCAACGAAGCTGCTTGTGTCAAATTCATGAGAATGTAATGCATAGACATATTTGGCTAAAGACGTCTTTCCGATACCACCGATACCCAAAATAGTTAGTACATCTGTCGTATGTGAGGATGCATCTTTCAACCACGAAGTGACGAATTTAATGGAATTGTCCATCCCGATAAGTTGTGGCAGTGGAAACCTTGAGGATATGCGTAATCTACGGAAGATGTCGTTAACAATTTCATCAATAAGCTCCACCTCTAGCCTGACATTTGATTTAGTAAGAACCACAAAACACAATCCAAAAACTAACATGCCATATTGGAGATCTAACTTTCCCAAATATCCAAATCAAAATTATATCATCTAAATCTAATTTTTTATTAAGTTAATTACATCATATCTATCATCATTTATGAACTTCTAACCATATAACCATCTAATGTGCAAGGTCATGATTTTATCTATAAGAAGACCAAGACACCAATGTTTTACAAGATTTCATTAATGAGCCACCAAGTTACATTGTGTTTCAAGAAAAGCATCAAACTTAAATATATCAATGTGATTCCGTGTGAATCTAAACAAATTGCCAGTGAATAGATATTAGTTAACCTTTACTACCAACAAGTATGAGCATTTATTTATCAAAATAACATATCATATGATTTGAAAGTAGAATGATATAAGAAATTGAAAAAAAATTACGACCATTAAAATTTGGTTTATTAATTAAAAGCATATTAAAATCATTAAAATAGGTTATCTAGATGAATTTATTTATGATAATTGATAAATAATAAATGCATAAGAAATGTGTTAAAATTAGCAAAATGGTTAACCTGCCTATATGAATTAACTTATGTAATCACATAATTGCAAAGATCAGAATCAACTTCAAGCATTTCTTTAGGATTTATCCAAATTTAAATACATCAAAAATTTAACTATTTGATGATGATGAAGAAATGTATTGAAATGCATAAGGAAAAGATGCTATTGAATTTCATGCGCTAATTTATCAATATATAAGGAGTAAGAAAATATGGGTTAGAAAGTGGTTACCTGCCATTTGCATCCTTCCCTTTTAAATCAGCAACTCCTGTAAGTGCCTTATTCCATCTGTCCATCTTTTGAGCCCATTGACATTTTTTATTTTCATCTGTCTCTGCATTCATCTTCTGTCTATGCTTATCCATTGCATCTCCAAAGCTACTTTGTTGCTTCCTGACATGGGTGGGCTCCACATGATAGAAGATAGGTATAACAATCTGGTAGGATGTAATACGTTGCTCAAGGATCATAACCAATTCATCAAGGCACCATGTGGAGGAAGCATAGTTCCTGGACAACACGATAACAGAAGCTTTGGATGATTTAATCGCACTCTCCAATTCTGGTTTCAGATCTTCCCCTGTTTCAATCTCTTCATCATCCAAGAATGTAGTGATATTGGCATGCATGAGAGCATTATAAAGGTGATTAGTGAAACTGTGACGAGTGTCAACACCTCTGAAACTTAAAAATACGTCATATCCACGACCATGAGTTGATGAAGAAGATGAAGATCCTTCTGAAATTTCATGGAGCTCAACCATTATGAGGAGCCTTCACCCTTCCCAATAACCTCTGAAACTCAGTTTCCTCCAGACATCATAAGAAGCTAAGTACTACGGTTTGAAGCTTTTGGATCCCACGCTTTCCTTACTTGTGCCTCAATATCAAGGTCCCATACATAATGTCTATAAAGTCTACATAAAATCAAAAGTATTAATACCTTATGCAACTTACTTCTCATCAAACAGTTTAAACCCCTAAAATAACACCTTATAGTCTTCAAAATAAAAACTGAAGTGTTTCATAATCAATACAGATGCACCTCGAATATGCTTTTGAAACAACCAGCACATATATGGCTAAGTGGATTACTATTCTTACAGTAATACCTTATGCAACTTAAGTCCCATCAAACAATTTAAACCTCAACAATAGAACCTTACATTTTTAAAACAAAAAACCGAAGTGATTAAAACCAAAAAAGATAAGTTTGACATGATTGTTTAAAGAGCCTCAAATTAGCAAGAAAAAGTTTTTCAAATATGAAACTATTTATCACTAGATCTAGTATGAAATATCAGCATTAGTGAGCTTTTTTTAAATAATATATTTTTAAAATTAACAAGCCACAAAATTCTAAGCTTTCGATTTCAAACGAGAAAATGTCCAAAATAATTGCATCTGAAAGCAGTGGTGGATCCAAAAAGATATTTATTCAGACAGACCGAAACTTAATGGCTCACTCAAAAATAGATAAGGTCTAAAAAGCTTCCAAGCAAAACCTTTCCATTGCACCTCACCAAATGTCCAAATCCAGTGATGTCTGCCTTCATTTTGGATAAATTTCTCATTTTTAGTAATAAAAATTCAACTTTTTATATTATCACATCAGTGGTGTCATACTAATCAATAAAATACATAGATCAGCCCCTGTCTAAGACAACTAAATTAAGGACTAGAACAATGAGTGTTCAGCTACGCCGTGGTTCCCCTTGTGGTATTCCAATCAGTTGCTTATGGATGGAAGAAAAGAAGCATAAGCTTTGCTGAAGAACATGGTAGGTGTTAAATTGACAAAGAATTTGACTGTGACTTCACTGATTTAGGATCTGGCACTGCTCTAGCAAAATCCTAATTTTGGAATGTAACACCCAAAAGTACTTCACGAAAACTGACATGGCTTACAATCTAGCTTCAACAGTTCAGAAAGCTTGCACAATGGGAACATCACCAGGCAATTTAGGGTTATTGCAAGATGAGTATGAGACATAAAATGTGATTTCATAGTTACCTGCCTACAGGACGAGAAACATATCTGAAGCGGCGAGGATACAGGATGAACCAAGGACGACTAGAAAGGAAGACGACTGAAAATTACAGAGCGAACGGCGTTAAGTCTTCAGGCAAACGGCCAGTTAACGAGGAAGAGACAAATAATTTTCCAGGAAATTGCTGTGGAATTTTTTTTCAGCTTGAGAGGATTCACGTTTTCTCTTATTACAGTATCCTTTTGATTTCCAGGAAATTGCTGTGGAATTTATTCCCTCAAAAAGTGACAAATAATTTTCCAGCTGGAATTTATTCCTTCCAAAAGTGACAAATTATACGTAGTCTGGGGACTGACATTTTAACTTGTGATATGTGTCATATGAAATTTGAAAAAAAGATATACGCCCTGCATAATTGCTAATTGTGCTTTCATTAAAGTGACAAATAATTTTGGTCAACTATCACAACTGTGGCAGACAAAACCAAATTTTGATAATTGTGTTTTCATTAAAGTTGCAAATACAATAAGTGGTAGGGTGTTTGGTGCGGCTCCATATATAAAATAAATATGTATTAATGCATGTGGTGATTTTATTAACATGAGAAAGAACTATATATAGTTATATAGTTGAAGAATAGATCATCCAAAAATCACAAACACAACCTAAGTAGCATCACAGAACAAATATCACCATTTCAGCTGTTTGTATTTTTCTCATTTATCCAAACTCTGTAGCACTGCAAAATATAGTGGATTGTTTCTCGGATTTCTCCGTCTGTGGTTTTTTCCCGATTTGGGTTTCCACGTAAATCTTTGTGTCTCTTTTATTTATTGTCGTTAATTTACCTGGTGTATGATTAGTGTTTGATATATTAATTCCATTGTGCGTCGAACTAATATTATTCTAAATTTATTCGGATTCATGGAGTGGGTTACACATTCGTTTACTACATTGTCTAATTACGTTTTTGATTTCCAGGAAATTGCCTGACTATGGTTTTTAGTCCCTTAGTTTTTAGTTTAGAAAATTATATATTTTTTTGTCTAGTTTTGAGAACTCTTATTATAGTATCATTTTGATTTCCAGGTGTATCGTCCCGAATTTCAAAACAAAATTTTCATTTAAAATTAAAAGCATTTGTTCCAATTATAACTTCAAAGATCTAAATAAAACCATTTGATTCAAAGCATTAATGAAAGTATAGACATAAGAGTTATTATATGCGGAAATCTCTAATGAATGTGATGCAACTAAGTCGCGGCCTTCCTTTAGTATAAGAAAACCGAAACATTTTAAACATCAAACCGTAAGCATAAAGCTTAGTGAGTTCCCCAAGATACCACATACCATACATAAAAATAAATAATGTGTGAATGTTATGGTCCTCTCATAGTCTTATAGTCACCCGCCGCTACAGTCCTCCTGCAGTCTTAGTTGCTATGGTCCTCCCATAGTCTTCTGTATGGTTGTCATGGATCTCCCATGGTCTTTCTACCATGGTCCCCGCATAGTCTTCCATACAAGTGTCTTGGTCCTCCTATGGTCTTTCAAACAAGTGTCATGGTCCTTCCATGGTCATTCATACAAGAGTCATAAAGATAATCTAGCATCATGCATAGTATAGTGACAAGACTTACCTCAATTACTCAATAGAAGTTCAACAGTTACCTCATCAATAGAATATCTAACCCAAGCTACCTAATGACAAACCGAGACCAATCCTTAGCCAAATACTCGAGTCTATGAAAATTTGACCAAAAGTCAAACTAGTCAAAAAGTCAATGGTCAACCACTACGTCGTGGCCAACCGTTGACCGCACTGTGGCAGCCATACAACAAAATAGGTGCGTGAACTCTCATCTACTGTGTCGTGGTCAACGACCCACCACGCTGTTGTGTCTCGTCTTAATAGCTTTTGTCATAAAGGACTTAATTCTTTAAGTCCAGAGCCAAAAATCTCATATATAATTCTTATAAGTGATTTAATGGATAAAGTTCCAACTTTATCCATTTCCCATGGTTCAAACAACCAAGATTTAGACTTTAAGTCTCAAAGGGACCAAAATACATCTTTCTCAACTTAATTCATTAAGTGCATGTCTCCAACCCTCAAATCTTAATCAACATGATGTTTAAATCAACTTTATCCATTGTAATACCTCAAATATTCAAGATCTAAACTTTAATACACCAAAATAACATAAAAGACCAATATAACTTGCATGGCTTAAAAGGAAGGCAAAAGATCATAACTTTCCTAGTCCATAAGGTCCAAGAAGCATTCCAAACTTATCAAAAGGTGTTAGAGTCTACTGAACTCCAAGATCAACCATAAAATGGACCAAAAGTGCCAAAAAAAACCCCGAAATTGCAAGATCTAAAGAGCAAGATATGAACTTTATACTTACAATAGTCTAGAAATGGAGTGACTTCGTTCGATCCAAACTTGAATCGACATTCCTTGCAACCAAATAAACTTTCTTGGTCTTAAAGCTTCATCAAATCACCACAAAAAGTGTAACGTCCCCAAAATCCATGGAAAAAAATTCATTTTTAAAACATTAATCCATAAAACAATTTATTCTCAAATCAATCAAGGTGAAAATAGTATTTAAACAATAGAGTAAAACTCATAAATAGCCACTTGTAACATCCGGTTTGGAGAAGCTTCCTATTTTGAGAATTATGGGTATTAATGGATCAAGTGATGGCCCTAGACTTCAAAGGGTTTGGGTTTTGGACCTAATTGGGTGTGGATTATATAGGATGTGTGAGCCAAGGTTTCGTTTTGTGCTTTGAAGTCTAAGGGTATAATGGTAAAGGTGATGCTTCAGACCTTTTATTGAATTAAGGTTTCATGTTCGGATGGTTTTAATTCGAAGGAGATTAGATGAGATTGGAGGGTTTCTCATTGCCTTTTTGATCATAGAAAGAACTCCTAAAACGGAGTTGGGACGAAGAAGTTATGACCATTGGAAGTTAGGAAGAAAATGGATCTAGGCCAGTACGCTGGGCATACATAGCATGTACGTTGGGCGTACTACATGAATTGGTCGCAGTCATCCTTTGAGTATGCCGAGCAAACATATGGTACATCAGGCGTACTCATGTGAAACTCAAAACCTAATATTTGGGTCTTGGACCTTATTTAAAGACCTTAACTTATTAAAAACCCTTCTTACCTTCATCCTCTACCCTCCCTAACCCTAAATTCGAAAACCTAGCCCCATTTAAGAGATTCTTGAGCCTTTAAGTGATTTTGGTGTGTTTGTGGTGCATTTTGAAGAAGAGGAACTCATTGGAGGAGTGTTTGTTAGCATGGAGCTTGAAGATCTAGAACTCTCTTCAGTTTTGCAAACTTCTTGAGGTATAAAGCTTCAAACTTGATGGTTCTTTTATATAGATCTAGTTTTGGGTTATGATTTGTCATATTTTGGGCCCATGGTCTTGGTTCTTGTAAGTAAAAGCTACTATAGGGCTTAAGGATGTCTTTTCTTGTTAGGTATAAGGTTCATGCAACATAAAAATCGAATATTGAAGGGTAAAACTCTTCCATGCATGAGATGATGGCCTTTTAGTCAAGTTGTGAATGTAGGGCTTTGGTTTGGGCACCATTAAGCCATGCAAAACCATAAAGTCAGGAACTTTATGACCTAAGACGTCCCTTAAAATCAGATCAGGAAGTTAGACATTTTGGCGTAAGGCATTAAAATCTAAAAGGAAGTTTTGGGCTTCAGCGTCATACGCCAGGCATACTGGGGTGGTACGTCGGGCGTACTCATCAGGATATGGTTATGGGCCCTTTTTAGGTCTTGGTTCATTCGGGTTTTGGTCCATGATTTGTTGGTTTAGATATGGGAAAGGTAAAATGGTCTTTTACCCCTTGGCATGATAGAATATGAATTTGACCTTTTATTGTGGGTTATTACCCTAATTATTGGTTAGGGTGATTTTGGATATGTTCAGTGTGAGGAGCCTGGTTGTTGCAGCGCGTGTATGATTCTGTGATCTCTAGATTGAGGTCAGTCACCTCACTGTACCCATGGGTCGAAGGCACCGGTGTCGACCCAATATGATATATTATGTAGGATGTTCGCAGTCTTGTTGACTCTTGCATTTATGATTGGGTTGAAATAAACCCTAGGGCTGGGCCCCAGAGCTGGGCTCATGATTGTATTTTAGGTTGAAATAAACCCTAGGGATGGGACTTAGAGCTGGGATCATGATTATTGTTGGGTTGAAAGAAACCCTAGGGTTGGGCCCCAGAGTTGGGCTCAATATTGTATGGTGGGTTGGAATATACCCCAAGACTATGCCCAATGATATTGTATTGGGGAACTCGCTAAGCTTTGTGCTTACAGTTTTATGGTTATGGTTTCAGGTACTTCCAATTCAAAAGGGAAGGGCCTGACATGACTGCACAGTATCCCCCGGAGTTTTATTCTGCATGGTTGTTTATGATCTTTACTCTGATGTTTTGATAATATTTCCATTTTGATTGGTTTTGGAACAACTCGTTTGTATGGTTTATAGTTTTAAAAATGAAAAATTTACCATGGATTTTTGGGAGGAAGTTAAGGGATTAGGGTTATCTAGGGTTTCCTTGGGCTCTACCTAAAGAGGGGGTAACGAAATCTATAGTGTCTCTAGGGTTTCCTTGGGCTCTAAGGGTGCCTTGGATGCCTTAGGGAGGAAGTTAAGGGATTAGGTTATCTTGGAGATACATGTCTTATCCAATACCTTCCTAACACCTATATAAACCCTCCATTGGGTTAAATTTCATCTAAGCCTTCCTTCTAAGTGCCTTGGACGAAATTTTGTCCCCTTCCTCTCTCTCTTTCTCTCTCTCTCTCTCTCTATAGTTTTCCTTGATTGCTAGGGTTTGTTTGTTAGCCATTAGAGGTGCGACACTTATGGCGCTTGCTACCAAAGGTTTTTCAAGCAAGGATTCAAGATTGTTTACAATAACCATCTTAAAGGTATGTATCATAACCCTTATCATGTGATTTTCAATTCTTCTATAGAGATCTAGGGTTTTCCTTTTGATGTTCAATTAGAGAAAACATAGATTTAAGCAAATTAGGGTTCCATGCACACATAGGATTGTTTGTCATGTACAAAACCCATAAGTGGTATCAGAGCTTGGTTTGTTGTTTTCTATTGAATATGATGCAATGGGTTGAACTTGACAAATTAGGGTTTATAGCGATTAAACCCTTTGGACCTATGATTTTCGCAAATTAAGGTTTCCTAACCCTAGTTTTTGAAAATTAGATGAGGGTTTTAACCCTTTCCTTTGGCCTTCAAAAATTCGAAATTTAGGGTTTCCTAACCCTAGGTATTTTCGAAAAAATA